CAAAGGAACGTATTATACAGTCTAAACTCGTCGACTTCACATTTCCTACCAAGAACCTGTTGAGTGTTCAGAAAAAGAGCAAGCAACAATTTTTTTAAGCATTTCTTTAAAGAGCAACTCCAGAGTTGTTAACAGTTAACCCTTGTAGTGGGGCTACCCCCACACTGCTCATGTAGTCTATATAGTCTAAACTCATCTATTTCACATTTCCTACCAATAACCTGTTCACTGCACATTATTTTATTTCCTTTATATATACCGTATTTATGTAAGGAAGAACTGCAGGGGAAAATATTATTAGCCCTTGCAGTGTGCCTACCCTCACACTTCAAGGGTTAAGTGCTTGTTTTGGTCTACGGAGGAAAATAAAAAAGTCATACTTACCTGAACCTTGGAGCCGGTTGGCCCTTAGATCGGTCCCTGAAGCCTCTCTCCCCCTCCCCTGCAGCGGTCTAAGGTCCCTGAGTCATTACGTTCTATACACTGTGTATAGGACACAAGGATGCCCAGGGACATACCTTCACTGTAGCAGGGAAGGAGACTGCTGGGAGGAGCGCTGTCATAGCTGGCTGGCTCGGAGGATCGGATGAGTATAACTTTATTATTTTCCTCCCTAGGCCAAAACAAGCACTTAACCCTTGCAGTGTGGCGGTAGCCCCACACCAAGGGTTCATTAAAAATTTCCCCAGAGTTCTTCTTTAACTTCTTAACCCCTCAGCCATTTTTTTTTTTACTTTACAGTGTCCGTCCTGCCCTTACCACTGCTTGTGTGTATTTTTTTTATTGATTCGGCACGCTGTTTGTGGCTCTGCCCACACAGCCACATCATCCATTCACAGATCCTTCCCTTCGACAGGATCTATGAATGGAGAAATGAAATGTTCCATCAGCCACCACGGTGGTGGGCCTTGTAGTTCTCAATGACGTACAAGTGCAGTGACTGTGCCACACTTGTAGCCCATTCACATTCCCTCCCATCTATGTTAATGCATATCCGTACCTTGTTAGGGACACGGATGGGAGGAACAGTCTGCAGGAGCCAGAGCATTGCACTTGCAATTCACTGATTGTGGTGGCAATGCTTTACTGGCTCCTATGCAAAAAAACAATATATTAAACATTTTTTACGAAGAAGTGTGTATTTATTATCTGTTTTGAAAAAGAGAAGTTTCACTTTAAGCATACTGGACAAAGAGGACAGAAAAAAAGAGGGGATAGAGACATAGAGAGGGAAAGAGAGAGAGAGAGAGAGAGAGAGGGGGAGTGAGAGAGGGGACATGATTGACAAAGGTGTAAAGTAACTTCTTCAGTCTTGAACTGAGATTGCTATCAGGGTAGACTTCAAACCTCAAAACGTGATTCCTGTTACACTTAACTGCTGGACCTCCATGTCAGTTGTCTAAACACGGCTATTTTCCATCCCTTTGTAATCTTACTTTAAAGCACAAAAACGTGCCGGTCTGAAATACTTCCATGAGATGGAACGGGCCAAGTTCTCTAACTTTTTCAATCTTTAGGAAACAAGATATGGATTTTACATTGTCAGCCACTATTCAACCAGGGGATATTATATATCTGGAATGTGCCCTATATGTCTCAATTGGACTTCCACTAGATTTTACACAACGTATTATTTCTTTCTGGAGTTGCGAGGTTTAGGGTGGAGGGCGGTTTCCCATCGGCCCTTTCTAATGTGCCCTAATTACAGCCTTCATCAGACACTGCAGGAAAATATTGTGTTGTTTGCAACTCTGTTGTTTCAGTTGCAAGGATGACAGTGGGATGCATCCAAGTTTGCCAAGCCAAGTTTGCTTTACACAAGGCTCCAAAGAGATTCGAGTTCTTCATCATGGTCGCTCTGCGTGGTCAGGAGAAGAGCCAACAGCTTCACATGACTGAACCCGATCTTTTTGTAAAATTCAGACTAATTTCTAACATCTGTAAGAGAAAAGCTCATTTGACCTCACAACAGAAATATTTCAGTTTAGCTAAAGTCATACCAGTCTCTCTTTCCAACCCCTCCCCTTTTCTTCATTGAGACCAGGTTCACACCATTTTCCAGGCCAGATCTGCATAAGATCTGGAACGCGGTGCATTGCGTTTTGCCGTGATTTCAGGGCAGGTTCACACTATTTTCCGGACCAGATTTGGTCCGGAAAATAGTGTGAAGCTGCCGCAGTTCCAGTGCATTCCAGACCAGACAAAATGAGACATGCAGTATTTTTCTGGTCTGGTCTGGTCTGGAACGGACTGCGATGGTGTGAACAGATGCCAGAAATAGCATAGGGATACATTAGGATGCATATTGAGTCCGGAAACAATCTGGCCTGGTCTGGAGATGATCAGAATGTGGTGTGAATGGGCCCTTACAGGGATTTTGCCGTGTTACAGAGCAAGGTTTTTTAGCTTAAAATGGTCTTCCAGGTGCAGTCTAGTGCATTTGCATGCGTTTTTTATGCAATTACATGCCTTCCAGTGCATTCCAGACCAGAGAAAATTAGATGAACAGTATTTTTAGGGATACCCTGGTATGCTTTTTTGGTCCAGGAACAAACTGTTCTGGTCGGGACATGATCCAGACATGGTGTGAAACGCAGCAAAATTGCAGCAAAACACTGAACTGGTCCAGAAAATGGTCCAGAAAATGGTGTGATCCTGCCCTAAGGGCACACTCACACCAATTGTGGCAGCAGCTGGAACGCACAGCAATCGCTCACAAACCTTCACCCTTTGTTCTGGGGTGGGAGGGGAAGGCGGTACATTGAAGTCAATGGCACCGCAGCCACACACCCCCACCCACAGTGCGATCGGACGTGTGGCAAAACACTGCCTGCGTCCACAGCAAGCGCAAAAAATGCTGCATGCTCTATTTTTTGCGTTCACAGTGGACCGGAACGCAGGCAATGTTTTGCCACACGTCTGATCGCACTGCGGGCGGGGGAGTGTGGCTGCGGTGCCATTGACTTCAATGCATCACCACGCCCCCCTACTGGTCCAGAACGAAGGGGGAAGTTTTGTGAGCGATTTGCTGTGCGTTCCGGCAGCTGCCGTTCTGGAACGAAACGCAATTGGTGTGAATGGGCCCTAAGACAAGAGTGTGCAAAGTGCTGCAGTCCAAGTTTCAGTTCAATATCACCAGATATCATTTTTGGTAGCTATTGGTTACTGCACATTGCACATCCACATTATCCATGACACAGCTTTACCAAAGAAGCCTTTACGTTGTTTTGGTTACCCTTGAGTTGGCCTTCTTGGCAAGTCCTTGTTACCTAGCAGTCCTGGACACAAAACAATACAACAATACAGGAGCAGTGAAGTGGGATTTCATTAGCAGTTCTCTGACCAAAGTCTTAAGTAGGTAATTAGGTTTGATTACAGGATTATGACACTAACATCAATGCCCCAAGGAATGTGATACACTGAACATCCAAAAACAAGTTGACTGGAGAAGCCTGTATGATTTAGCAAGGTTGTGAATTACCTCATCCTATCTTGTGTGAATTGAAGGTGTACCTGTTGCTCAGGTACAATGGAGGAAGCCATACTCAGGCTGGACCGGCAGTGGCGGCACTTCCCAGAAGTACAAGTATGCCTGAAGTCCACTATAGGGTGGTGTGATATCCTATGGACTAAATGAATTACTTAATGAGTCCTGATTTAATAAAATAGCAAACCTACAGCCATCACAGTTTTAAAATAGTTTCCAGAGAAGATTGTCTGTCAGTAACTCACATAGCCAACTGTGGACCCCATAACCTCCATATGACCACATACCTTGCAACTCTTTTTTTTTTCCTTTTTTTTAATGGCGATCTAACATTTTATTCAGTAAAGGAGCAATTTTACTGTTGGTCATATTTAAAAACTGGAACCAAGCAATAATATGTTTTTTGCACCTTATTGCTCTTTTTGGCTTCAAAAAGGTTTTGCTATCTGCATTTTAGCCTCAATCCACCACTCAACCGAACCAGTATTTCAGAATACACCACCTTCCTATAGCCAAATGTTAGTTTTAGGGCAGGTTCAAACCATTTTTCGGACCAGATCTGGACCAGTTCTGGAACGCAGTTCATTGCGTATTTCTTCTAGTTTGTGTCGCAATTTTGCAGCGTTTGGAATTCCTTTTTTTTTTTTAGCTTAAAATGGTCTTACAGGTGTAACCCAGTGCATTTGTATGCGTTTTTGATGTGTTTCAATGCGTTCCAGTGCATTCCAGACCAGACAAAATAAGACGAGCAGTATTTTTCTGGTGTGGTCTGGAATGGACTGCAGAGCCCAGAAATAGCATAGGAATACATTAGGATGCATTTTGGGTCCAGAAACAATCTGGTCTTGTCTGGAGATGATCCAGACATGGTGTAAATGGGCCCTTACTCCTGGAAATGTCTACTCCAGGGTCACAGGTATACTTTTCAGAACGTATTTTACAATCAGCAATGGGTTAAGCAAGCCCAGCGGCCACACAGGCTATTTATTGCAGAAGATGTCAGCTGTCAATAAGTATCTGCATTACCCAATACCAAGAACACTGTTTTACCCCAGAAGGGAACTAAACTTCACTGAACTAAACTAAACATACAGACATGGAGGAGTTAACAGTACACATACATCTTTATTCATGAGACCTGAGAGCTTCAGGACAATCACCATTGCTTATAAAGACTTATACCCAACTTTCAGACATGTGTAAGACCAAAAAAATTACCCATCATTACCATGTAGCAGATCACATACATGAACCATGAGGAATGAAAGCATCCAAAGTAACACTGGTGTTTCTTTACCCCCTGCGTTTTCCTTTCTAGTGGTATTTACAAATAACAAATGCAATGGTTGGAAGACTGAATGTAAACTTCAGTGAAATATAAACAGCCCATTTGTTTAGATCATACCTAACATTTGAGCAAAAAAGAGAGATAGAGGAGTTTGGGAACATTTTGGGAGCTATGTAGACTTGGAAAGGCAATGCAAACATACACGCACACCCCCCAGCCCCTTACCTGATGAGATGCATACAATTCCACAGAGCAGATAAAAGTGAATAAACTCCCCAATCATGGTGCTCTCATGCCACCGACAGCCCCCAGATAATGGAATACAATCCCCAGGAAATCAAACAACCCCCAAAGTAGATCCAGCCAAGCTTAATATAAGCGACTTTTCCCGCGATCAGGTTTAAATCCCAGAGGGGAGCAGATGAGAGGATGACTTGTGGTCTACACAGTGTCCAGATCCTGGAGGAGAACTTCTCCTTGTCACCAGTCAGGACTCCTTAGAAGAAAACTCCAGGGCTGATTACATCTGATCCCAGGGGTTCAGCTATCCAGAGATAATCCTCAACCCGAACAAGCCAATTACTCCTTGGATGTCTTCTAAGCAGCCCACCTAGACTGGCCAAAATGCTGCTTCACTCCTGCCAGGTCCCACACGCATCGCTCTCCATCTCCGATCAGCTCCGATCCACACTCAACTTTTAGAAGAGCCTTCAAGGCAGGAGGAGTTGGTGATGGATGGCAGGGATCCTGAGTCCTCCCGGCCTTACTCTTCTTCTTATGATGGGGAGTTGTTGGGAAGTTTGCAGGCTCCTGTCTCTCCCTCCTGTCTCCTGCTCAGACCGGAGCTGATCCCCATTTCATTCTACACGGGCGATGCATCCAGCAGCAGCAACTCTGCTTAAAGGGGCCGCCTCCACTTCTGCTCTTTTGTTGTTTGTTACACATGTAAACCTTCAGCCTCCCGGATCCCTCCATTCAGGATCATTGCTGCCATCTGCTGGTCTCAGCAGAACACACTCTTCAACACTTAATTCTTCAATCCTTTATAGAATTGTTAAAGTGACACTAAACTCAGGAGTTAAATCTTCAAAATACATTCAACTACCCTAACTATTAACACAAATGTATCTCATTTGTGTATCACAGGGGCTGTAGATCCGCAAATCATCTCTGAATTGGTGCTGGCAGAGTCCTTCCTTCTACTAGTCTCAGCAGAGCACACTCTTCACCACTTGATTCTTCATTCTTTTATAGAATTGTTAAAGTGAAAGTAAACTCAGGAGTTAAATCTTCAAAATACATTGTACCCTATTAACAAAAATGTATCTTATTTGTGTATCACTCAGCTCTGGATCCGCAAATCATCTCTGAAATGGTGCTGCCACTGTCCTTCCTTCTGCTGGTCTCAACAGAGCGCTCTCTTCACCATTTGATTCTTCTTTCTTTTTTAGAATTGTTAAAGTGTTAAAATTGCAGGTTTGTCACGGCCAGTGTGAGTGAGACTTAATAATCATAAGAATGAAGTTATTTGGCACCCAAAGATCGGTAGGTGCCGGATAACTGTAGTTTCTGGTTGCTTGAGAGTTATTGATAACTCTCAAGTAACCGTCCCCGAGGTGCTCCGCTTCTCCATTCACCTGCCAGCTAGCTTCTGCAGGCGGCAGGTGAATGTAGACACCCGAGAGTAATAGCTAGACTGCTATTGACTATTTCAAACTGCAATAGCCAATTGCAAGCTTGCTATTGCACCCTTCCTTCTGGAGGGTGGCTACTTTTGTTCCCCATGGTCTGTGTGTGTGTGTTGTAAAGTAGTCACCGCTCCAAGCTCGCTCCCGTGATGGACTACAATCTCAATACAAATTAGCCAATTAAACTTGAGGTTGATATCATCACAGGAGTGAGCTTGGAGCCGGTGGCTACTGTTCAACACACACAGGGACCATGGGGAACAAAAGTAGCCACCCCCCAGAACATTTTTCACGGTCTATGATTTGTTAATCGGTATGAGGTTCTGGATGAAAGGTGCAATGCCAACAAAACATCATATGCTCATCATCTGATCTCAACACCTCGGCTGCATTCATGATTATAACAATGTAGCAGAAGAATATTTATTATTTAGACTCAGTTTGCACATGCCCACTGACATATACATAAATAAATGAATACAAGCATACATACATTTAGCTCTGAAGAGTAAAGGCAATGTCAGTCTTAGCTGCATGCATTTGGTTTGTTAAATTGGAGCAAGAGCAAAAATGGCGGATATGACGCTGTCTGTCACTGGCATTAAAGTGCAATGGAAGCCAACACTTTGTAGTTTTGTACAGAGTGGAGAGGGATTGGAACCCCTGTTAGGTTTTTATTGCTTTTGTGTCCCCGTTAAGAATATTTATCCTGGTGACCATTACCAGTGAAAGGGGAAGAAAATTCCAACTTCTGGGTTGTCATCAGAACAGGAATAATCGTGGAATCTTCCAATGGGGTCACTAACTATGGTTACTCTGCTGACAGCCTGGGATTTCCCTCTCTTTGGTGCTATTACCTCTCACTTCCTGTTGTGACTATCAGACAGAAAGTGAAGATAAATCTCCTCAACAGGGCACAGAGGGCACAAGAAAGGATGGTTTCAGCAGATTTTGTCCTCCTTGTAACCTGTTTTGTCCTGCCAGTAGATTCATTATCTTTCACCTCCTTTTAACAGGGTGACAACACTGTCCAGTCTGCAGTAGGCATGTAAGCGGGGGAAAGCAATGGCGTAGTTGTGTTTCATTTCTGACTTTTCTTTCTTTCGGGTTCGAATGTCGTTTCGTTTCATTACTCAGGTTCGGATCCTCTGGAATTTCACCATAGTTTCGTCACATGTCCGATTTAGTTTCATTTTGAATAAAATTTGTTTGATCCGAAATTTTGTTAAAAGACCATTTGGATTCATTTGCAATCGGCCTTATTGGAATTCGGACATTTGGATGTTTCATGTCCAGTGGTGCATGCAAGGAGAAGACTTTCTCGCCTGGGTCTCCTGCTTGAGGGATGTGCATTATGAGTGTGCTGCCTGACCTGGTCTGAACCCTGTTGGTGGTCAAGTGTGGACCCAGTCGGGGTCTGGAATTATTCCTGGGATGGAGAGCCATGGAGGAACTTCTTCTGCTAGAGGTATCAGAGAAGCCAGAATAGGCTTGGACCTTGCAGGGAGTCTGGTGTCCACCCAGGAGAGATTTCAAATACGTCTATTGACGAGCTATCGTTCTCTGACACAGTGTCACCGCATTTTTTCGGTTTAAAGTCCCTCTGCACTATGAAACTGGAAAGCATTCAGTGAGTCTGGAGTTCTGTGTTACCTAGATGTCTGTGTTGGAAATGCAACAGCTTATGCTAATGTACTGATATGTATTTTGAGCACTAGATGGCGCTGTGGTGCAGTGTTGGTCTCTATGCTTAGTATGCTTGTCTGTGATACACGGGAAGTTCTATCTGTATATATGTTTTCCTCTCTATAATGATGTATTCCTGTATACATACATGTAATGTCCTGCTAAGCAAGTAAAACTTAATTCAGCATTCCTCAAGATATCAGTGCTTCATCTTAACACATAACCAACCGTCTGCAGCCCTCTCCCTGTTTTGCCGTTCATGGAATAAAGCATTGTAAAATCCTTAAAGTGAGTGGCTCCCAAATCTGCTTTCACATCTCATATACCAGCAACGGACTGGTGAAATGCCATCTCCTCCTGACCCTAGAAGTCAGGGGGTACCACGCAATAAAATAGTTATATTTGTGATTTTAAAAAGCCCTCCAGCATGCCAGAAAAAAATACTGTAGCTCACTGAGACCGGGGAAGAATAATAGGATTCTAGGCCAGATTTATATTTTCTGTCTCCTCTCCTTAGTTCAATTGGTCTGCCCCTATAAAATTAGCTCTTTGCTGACGGCACCAACTGCAGAAAAACAGAATCACACCATACTGCAGGAGAATCATTTACTAAACAAGAAGCACATCGATAAACCTATAAATGACTGATTCGCTGATCATTTTCTCGCCTGAGAACTCCTGCTTGAAAGTTTGGCGAATGTAACAAGCACATTTAAAGCTGAACACAGATCACAAACACTTTCATTCATATATACAGTATATATTTTATATATCCCTCAATAGTCACAAAGGATATCAATCAACTATGTGTGCACCAAATGCCTTTACAAACCAATATATATCCTGTAAAGGTAGCGGTGACATCATCATTCTGCTGTACATGGCCTGAACAGGACTTCAGGAGGAGCCCAGTAAGCTCCATCCACTTCAGAATGCTGGCAGAAAACTTTAGGTACGGGGCAGAGACAAGATCATTATTCCAGAAAAGAGAGAGCAGCAGGTACAGGTCTTTATCGCAGGAAACTCCTGTACAGGGAAAACTTTCACACTGGATTACTGCACAGATCTGGAAGAAATACACAAAGCTCACCAAGAACACACATGCCTCTTGTATATATTTGCTTATTCCGGAGTTAAAGGAGAACTATGGGGTTAGGGCCTTTCCCCATAGTTCTCCTAAGGGTAACTGGAGGACACAAACCAGCGTCCTCCCGTCACCCAAAGCTCAGTATACTGCGAGCTACAGCTCGCGGTATACTGAGACGCCGCAGCCGGAACAGATCCCGACAATTATGTCTGGATCCACCCAGCTGCGTGAGTGACAGCTGGCTCTGCCTATCTAGAGGCAGAGTCAGCTGTACCCGCCCCCTCCCCGTCCGTTCCGCCAGTCAGCGCTGGAGGATCGGACAGGGGAGGGGGGAATGCAGTCCCTTCCCTGTCACCGCTATCTGCCGGCACAGGATCGAGAAGTGAGCGAGCGCCGGTATGTGTTCGCTCACTTGCCGATCTACTGAGCCGACCTGTGACAGTTTCATTGTCACAGGTCGGCTAGAACTATGAGGCTGAGTGAAAATCACTCACCTCATAGTTCTCCTTTAAGCTATAAGGGTCAATTCGCCTGCACATGTGCCTAATTTAGTCTGTTTTGCTGCTTATCTTCTACATTTCCCTTTGTTCCAAGTCTCAGTCACATTCACTTTATTGTTGAAAGAGTCAGTGTTACATTGTTTGCCACCAATCTTTTTTACGCATTCACCTTTATTGATTTTATTCCTAGGGATCCCTGATTCCCTAGGGACACCAGTCAGACTTGATCTGTTCCATCATCTAAGACTATCTAGACATCTCACAAATGAGGACGGCATCTCATAATTCTCATTTCTACACAATAGGAGTTCACCCTGTGCCCCTGGCTCAGACAGATTTTATAACCTCTACAAATAGAAGGGGCAAATGCTTTAATATAAGTCCCCTAATATCACAACATTGCAAGTCAGAGAC